TTAAACTTAAACTTTGATAAATAACTTCCAGTACCAAATTTCAAGCTTATTTTTTTCTAATCAATTCAAATTTTGTATTTCTTCATTTCAGAACTCTGCGCGTCGTTACTCACGTTTTGTATTGTTCTTTAAACCCATCTTTGGCGATGCTTTGGTCGTCAAAGGCTGGGAAGATCCAACGACGACAACAACTACACCGAAATCAACAACAACAACAACTNGCTTTGGTCGTCAAAGGCTGGGAAGATCCAACGACGACAACAACTACACCGAAATCAACAACAACAACAACTGCAACTTCATCTAATTCGTTTGATAAGCAAAATGAAGTATAATTTTTAATTTGATTTCAAGTATTTATATTAAGTAATCATTTATTTTAAATGAAATTTAGCAGCAAGAATTTAGCTTTATTTCATACACAACAAATTTGAATTGAATTCTGTTGCACATTTTAAGCATGCTAAGTAAATAAAATTGAAATATGGCGATTTGGGTTTTGGACGTACATAGTTTTGTTTTAAGTTATTTCAAAATTATTTTATAAAGATGATAATGTACTCATCTCATGTTAAAATTGGTTGTATTCCTACCTATTATTCCCCATAGATATACAGTCTGCCAATAAAGTTTAGGTACATAGAATTTTTCGCAATACGGGCAACTATTTTTTAAATATTTTATTTTTCGCTAATTTTTTTTTTTAATATGGTTAATGCTACAACAAAAACCCCAAAAAATCAAAGTTATAAACCTTGTGCGAAATTAAAGAAAAATCTACAAATTTTGACTCTGATATTGCACTTTTTATTTATACTCTTTAATTTGGGTACGCTCTTTTTAGCCCATTCATTTTTAGTGTAACAATTACCATTGAATTGGCAAGTTTTTCTGTTGAAGGTGCCGCTCATTTTCTCCATACAAAATAATGTTCGATAATTTTTTTTTTTACCAGAATAAGAAACGTTCAGCTGGTTTACTAAAGTTGGCTTTAGAGACCAGGTATTTTTCACAACAAAGGTGTCTCAAGTTGCAGGAGACTCAGATTCTCTACTGAAGGTAAATTCTTTAGCGTAATTTTCGACATAAAGCCTGCCATGGGGACATGATGGGGTTTGAAAGCACACATAACTTGTACGATTGCCTAGGGCCAGTTCCAGTTGAGTCCACGTATCGGATCAAAATGGATAGGCACGGAGAGAACCTGGTTATTCCATTGAATTTCCTTTCCATAGATCCAGATTAAAAGTTGTCATTACTGCGATTTGAAAACAGGTTACTCAGAATCGCATAGAGAAGTGAAGTTTGGCCACTTCAATTCCAGGGCAGAAAAGGAAGGGATGCTTGGCCCCACAGTCGTAAAGTTCAGCCACCTCGCCGAATAAGTTCGATAACCGACGGAGACTGATCGACTTTGCAGGGCTCCAAAGCTCAATAGTGTGCCGCACTACTAGTTTCCAACATAAGAAGCTACATGGCTGTCTGTGTTTCGAAAACCGCGAAATAAACCAATCATATTCATAGGATGGTTTCAGTTCGCTCTTTTCTGTAAATGGGCACCACGATCGCGGTATTTTTATGCATTTGACTCTGTCCATGTCAATAAAAATATCGGAAAATCTGACGATAGATCATGTGTACTCGTATAAAGGTACTGTAAAATCTGTTTGGAAACAGGAAAAGAGTGCTGTTCGCCGATTTTTTTCTAGTGTATTTTCCAGCCTTGTAAAAATCTGATCAATGGTCGACTTACTAGATATGATGACACACTGTTAAGGCCCGATCAATTGGTTCATGGTTCAGTATTTCAAACAAGTTCCTAGTAACCTATGGTAAATTGAATTGGGCAAAGTAACTCTCTTTGCTCTTTTTACTTCGTTCTTGTTGAGTGTGGAGACGTGATTATCGTCTCTGGATATTTCTCTGGATTATTTTTTTTATCAAACGGTCTATCGGTGTCTTCGTTCAACTGTGCAGTAACCAACCCCCGGTTTAGACGCCATTACTTTGTGATCGAATTTTGTGAGGCTCATTTTATGCGGTTCAACTGTATATAAATTTGTTTAAAAAAATAAATTATCAGAAATTATTATTGATACTCTGCAGGAAGTTGGAGTTCTATATACATACTTTTGTAGTAGGGTTATATGTTTGCAGTAAAGTAAAATAAAACTTGCGCCGCTATGATACCGATACTACATAGTTATGAGTATTTCATTTTATAAACATTTCTCAACTCAACTTTACTACTACTTTACTCTAGTTATACAACTTCCTTACGGTGATGCAGTAAACACAAACTAAGTTATATTGTATATTTATGTTTATTTGCTTACTCTTCCATTACATTTGCCTACTTCACTTTCCGTCAAAGTCGTGGCCATTGCAAGCATAAAGCAAATAGTGCTGCAAGAATAAGTTTAAGAAAAATAATATCAACATTTGTAAATTTTGAAAAATGGAAGAATAGGTAAACAACTCAAAATAAAATAATATGCAAAGCAACAACACAAATTGTTGTAAGAAAATTGCAAGTGGCCATAAACTTGCTGCAACAGCGGAAGTGGAAGTTGGGCGGCAAGCCGTCAGCCAGCCAAGTAGCCAAGTGGCCACAGGAAGGAAGAAAGCCAAAAGCAACAAACGGCGACAGATATACCAGCAGCTGGCAGCAGCGATAGCCAGTGGTAGACAGCACGGCGAATGATGGCATAAAAATAGTTGTAGAAAGTAGAAAGAAGTCGAAAAAAAAAGCATTAACAACATCAAATTTAACTTCAAATTAAACATTGAAACTAGTAGACAACAAAGTCAGCTAACCTAAGAAGGATGGATGCTGAGGCAGACAGCGAGAGCAATGCTGCGCAGTATGCTGGTGCTGGGCAGCTCGATATGTATGTAAGTAGTTTATGCCACGGGATGCATTGAAATGTGTTGGTAACTAAGTGTGTTTGCACGTAAGTTTTTTCACTAGAATGTTTGACAATAAATGAGTCAAAAATGACAATAGCGAAATGAATAAAACACGACGTTGTGGATTCAAGAAACGGTGGTGTGCTGTAGCGGATGCGGTTGGCGGAGGTGGTGTTAATATTTTATTAAAATAGCGTCAAGAAGAAAAATAAGACATACATAATTTTGTTAGAGCAAGTGGATTTTATTGTACAAAGCAATTACTTACTGTTGTTAGTTGTAAAAGTTTTACGAATAGCGAAAAGATGGAAATAAAAGAAGAAGGAAATAAATTAATGACAAACATATAAAAACATCTGCATATGCATGCAGCAATAATAAAAATGTATGCGCCTTTGTACGTGTGGTAATTACTTAAGTATTTAGGCATATTTTTCGGCAGTCAGATAACACTTATCTAATTATTGAGAACTTTTGATTTCAAAGCTGTTGTAGAGTAAAAATTTTAACGGTATATTTCTCGAATCCGTATGGGTTCTTGACAGATACACTCGAGAAATTATTTTTTTATGAAAGCACCACTTTGAATAACTCAGTCTGAATGTGAAAATTTTTGACAAGTTTCCGCGTCAACGCTGCGGTCCGTCGCCAACGGGTAATGGCTCGAAAATCTACCGCATCCCTCAATTTGCCACAATATAGTAACCACTGTAACTACCTCTACAAAACAATATTTTTTCCATCTTATTGCGATGAAAGAGAAACAAACAGTCAGTGATATTAGCAGCGATGCGCTAATTTCCAACTCTTTTTTTTTTTTTTAATAATTAAAAATATTTACTTGCATCGTTTTTATTAAATAGTGAGCCGTACTTTCTTTAAAAAAATAATACACAAAAAAGCGAACTAGAGAAAAATAGCCAAAACTTGTTAAAATGTCGCGTCCCTATTTGTTTTCCCGTCACTGTATTTTCGGCCCGGAAGTTTATTAATTGAAAAAATTGTCTATGCTGTTTTTCTCTATCTTTCTTACCCATTTCCTTATATGAGCAAATTTCACGTGTGGTTTTTTAATGCCACTCCCTTCTTTGTAAAGAAAAAAATTCATAATTATTCTTCTTGTATTTATTTCAATCAATGGAGTTCAAGAAAAAAATAACAATCAAAAATAAATCAAGCATTTCAACAATGTTAGCCTTAAAACATTTATTCAGTCGAAAAATTACAGGAATTACTCATTTTTTTCTTGTCACTGTAAAAAAATCATAATTGCTTTTTTTTAAATAACTTGGGAAGTTTTCTAATAGAATGCTTATATTACAGGCAATGGACGTGGGCATCAAATACAACATATCTGTGAAATTTCAAGAGTGTACCACCAAATTAAAAAAATGGCAGCATCCAGAATATAAAAAAATAAAAGAAAGAGAAAAAAAATAAAAGTAAAAAATAACTAAAAAATTAATAATAATAAAAGAGAAATACTACATTTTGTCGCAAGTTTGTTTCTAAAGTTCATAAAATACAGCCAATATTATCTGATGATGTGGAACAATTTTTAGTCTATAAATAGCGAAAAATTAAAATAACAATTGTTCGGTAAAAAAAGTGACAAAACATTGCTCAAAATCCACAAATGTTATCGGAATAGTTCTAGTTTTAGTTGAAAATTCAATGAAATATTCGGACTTTCAGAGAATAATTTAGTGAAAAAGCCGACTTTTTAGGCAAAGTTGTGATTTAAAATTTTGTATAGGGTCATGAGCCAATTCGGCGAAACGATTAATAACATTGAACACACGTTATCTTGAAATTATCTCTTTACCGTCTGTCGGATTTTTCAACTACAACAGTGTAATCAGTTGTAATTTATACAAGGAAGCATTGCCTAAATAGTCATAAAATAATCATTGGTAAGATATTAGAGGGACTTTACGAGCTAAATACTCATAAACCAATTCTTAGTAAAATATTAAAGGGTCCAACTAAGGTCCTTACGAGCTTAAGTTTCGTAGTTGGATAGGTCTTACCGAGCATTTTATCGAAATTGTTTGAAAATGGGGAATATGATTAATCAAGCAAACAAAATCAACTTAAAGAGAAGTCGGCAAAAATAAACAACAGAAAAAGGTATTAGTTAGTAGGCAAAAGTTTCAAGAGATAAATGTATCAGAGAGGAAAACGAAGAGCAATCATCCAATATTTTTTTAATTTTTGTGTGGATTTGTCCTGAGTTGTCTTAAGTTATTTCTCATACAATGTATGTTTGTATGTATATAGTTAGAATCAAAATTTACATTCGCACACAAAATTCACGCATGCATTCGCATTCATGTTATGTGAGCTTTCGCACGAATGCGCTCAAAACAAAAATCAAAAATAGAAGTAATGATGTACTTATATGCCACAATTATGTGCATCTCTACTCTGAGAAAAAATACATTTTTTTGATTACTTCCTTTCGTGATTATAGAAATGTCGTTTGAAGCGGGGATACCATGTTTGATGTTTAATCGCGCGAAAACCGTAAGATTTGACACAAAATCAGTGAAATTCGGCAGATAACATAAATGGAAATGTAAATAAAGACTTAA